CATTATCATGCCATTAAGATTTCTATACTTGATGACGTATATACACTTCAGTAAACAAATCCAATCAGCAATCACATACACAATGTTACTGCGTAAATTACGTATGAGATTTATATCCATAATCGACGATTATTTTTTTTAACAAATGGTTATAATTACTAAAGCACGCCGATAATTGTTGTGATACTTGAATTGCTGACGTGTATCTATTTTGAAATCGTGATGATCGTAGACTTAGTTAATGTGTGAAGACGTGTTCTTGGGAAAAATCTTATGCATGGATAATTAAAATTCATTTAGAATCGGACTGGCGCCGTCTCTATGAATTTAATTCCATTTCAAAATTGATTTAAATATATAAATAATCCGTGTTAATTGCAACGTTCCAATAAAATTAACGTTTCAACGAAAACAAACGTCAGTATTTATTTACGGAGAATGGTATTTTTGTTGAATACTTGACTATTTGGCTATTTACTCCAAAATGATTAGCTCTGTCTGTTATTTTAATAATGCAACAATTATCGGTTAAAAAAAAACTAACGTTTTTTTGTCATTCAAACAGGGAAACAAGTATTTTATAAATAATGGCTTTATTGTCGAGGTATTAATTAATTATATGATTAATGTTTTTTTAATTATCATGTAAAATCATTTCATCAGATTTTTTTTTAATCGTTAAATTAATTTTATTAACATAAATAATATATTTTATCGAATAATGACAATTAATTATTTTCTTTGTTTAAAAATAAACTCATCAATTTAATTATATAAAGGCAGATAATTTTGTGCAAATTTAAATTGAAAAAAATTCTCTTCAAACTATTTTTGATTTGAATAAATTACAAGAATATTCTTTGAATTAATGAAAAAATTTTCTTGTTAAAAAAGAAGTTGATAGTAATTTGTGTTTGCTGACAAAATAATAAAAGAGAAACCTTTAATTACGATGAAATTAGTAAGACAGTTATTAGCGGGGGTGGATAAATCCATGTCCTTCACACGAGGATTCTCCAATAATGCGCAGGCGGACATGGTGTTGGAAAGTAAAAAAATTAGAAGGAAAAGAAGAAGAGTATAAAGCGGGTAGTTAGTGACTATATACATATGTTATATTGCGTGGGTTCTCTGCACCAATGGTGGTAATATAACGAAGAGCAAGTCCATGGCCCACGCGAAAATACGACGAGTGATTTCCCCATGAGATATGGTGTGCACCACCTCTTCACCCACATCAAAAAACCAAAGAAGACAATCAGATAGTGAAAGGATAAAAGAGGATAAAAAAAAAATCGCAAAGGATTCTTTTCGACCAGTGTGCGCCCCGGCGCCTGCACGTTTTATATATGACTTTAAAGTAGAGGATTAGAGAAGCCGCGGGCTTTTGATTCGTCATCCCGACACTTTTGCCACACCGCGTGAAAACATTCGTTCCACCTTGGCTATATAAAACCCCGACACGAAGATTCTTTTCGGAGGACTGTGTTCTGAAATAAGAAAAAAATCAGTCGCGATGTTACATTATTATGCTAGAATATTCCAAGAACAGTCCCCATGCTGAATAATCGCCAGTGGAATTCTTTTCCCCGTGGGACATAAAATGGAGTGACTGGACGCAAGGATAATATCTGGCGGCATATCTATAAAGCTTTGGAGAAGAGGTGTGTTCTGAACGCGTTAAAGGGGAGGTGCGTATTATTCTCTGTAGGCTGATATACCTGACACCAGCTAATCGATCGATCATTGTAAGACTTATTATACATTTATTAGTGAGATCATACTCCTCGTCTATTCAATCTCTCGGTAAATACTCCTTAGTTCATTTTAATCACAGTCTACGATCAGATTATTGTCTAGTGATTGTTTTCTAAATGACAAGGATGCGAATGTCACTAGCTAATTACATTGATTTTATACACAATCTAGACACTTAGGCCATAAAGTTAAAGATGAAAGATTAATTGAATTTTGCAAAACGTGAGAACGTGACGACCGCTAATAGGCTACTCATTTAGACTCCATAAAATCATTTCTTATTTCCTCATGAGACTCGCTGTATTTTACTATACTGGAGAACGAAAGAAAAAATTATGTAGCATGGATTCATTGACAGGACGTTCCTACGCAATTTTCGACTCTGGCGCATATATGCCTCTTTTTACTCACTCGTGTGTATACACAGGTGCGAGGGCGTTGTATATATAGGTGCGTGTCCGCGTTATTTATTGCATTAAACCTACGCATTATCTCAAAGTAATCAGCTAGCAACATTTTTAACCAATCTTCCATGAATGAAACTTTTCTTTACCCTATTTTATTCCAGTTTCGACTTATTTCTACTTTTCCCTTGACTAGGCACCCACTCACTTACGCGCTAACTTATGATCTTTATTGCTTCAACTTTGTTTTATTTCTTAATTACATGGCATATGAAGAAATATTATGTGGATCAATTGAGATTTATTGTTATTTTATAAATATTTGCTAATAACTAATAGATGGTTAATATTTGATAAATATGAATTAATAATTTTTAAGAAATAAAGAATGGAAATAGATGAATGCATATTGACGATTGATCAGAAGCAAAATAATTAGTTGAGTTATTAGTTTGTTGTAATTTGTACAAAATTATTATGGAACAAATTAACTAAAATGATGAAGGCATAATTAGGTTGATAAATATTTGAAAACGTTGGAAATACTATGAAGATATATTATTAAAATAATTGTTTATTACCTAAAATATTAATAATTCAATTTACCTTTGAAATGTTAGTTGCAATTTACTTTATCATTAGTTTTTTTATTATTTTTACAAATATATTATCAAATAAATAAATGTTTCCAAAACTTCCTAAACATATATATCAAAGATAAAATTCCATTTAATAAAAATCAAAAGATCTATTCTTGCTCGAAAAATTTATTTGAGTTATTGACATCAAATTCGTGACATTTTAAAAATATCCATAATATATATTCACGTCGAATTTTTATCATACATCAAGATAACAGATATAACAGATGATCATACACTTGAAAGAAAATTCCTTTTTTATTTATTTTATACAAAAATTCTAAATAGCAAATTTTCAGAATTGCTTCACAATCACGTTTAAAAACAATGCATAAGATGCTATATTATGCGTATTTCTATAAAGGAAGATGATTTTACTTTTAATTGTAAATAAACAAATGACAATTTAAAATTCATCGTTGAGTAGAAATATTCTTATTTTCATGTTTTAAAATGTCATTGTTTATTGCTTACAATTAAGAAAAAAATTATCTCCATGTAAAAACATTCCTCTTCTTTGCACTTTACAATAATTAAACAAATTCTAATACAAAGATTTAATATCCTCAAATTCTATGACTTTGAATTGACACATGAACAGTTATTGATATATAAATAATATTTCTGTCACACGATTACGAAGAAAACTTCAGTGATCTTGATCGACCTCGAGAAAATCAATTTCACGGAAATGTTGTACGCGTATTACTGTTACTTGATTGTTGCTGTCAGAGATTAAAGCGAGTATATTTGTGGTCATCGGAGGGGAATTTAATAGTGACAGCTGTGACTAAACACGTAGTAATCGAATTGTTTAATGTGGAGGATATACAAGGTAAATGGAACAACGATGATTATGGTATCTCTTCATTGTCAAACACAGACTTTGCTGAAACATTTTCAGCAAACATCAATTATATATTAGCAACAGATTTCAGTTAATCAAAACAAATTTAACGCGGTTTTAAACTAATTAATAACTTAGTTATCCATTAACTAATAAAAATCAAATATTTAATTGCTAATTAGTATCGGAAAAAATTTAATTTACTCTAAATTTCAAACCTTTCGTGGTTTCCGATATAACAAATAAACTATAAACCGATTGCACAAAAACTCTATTTATAAATGTGCTATTAATAATGTGCACTGTGATAACGGTAAAGACAGTTGTGATTTTCCACTTAATGTTATTAAATATGTTTTAAACGACCATGATGAAGGGTCACCTTTATCCGGAATATTTTATAAAGCATCTAGTTCACTCTAGTGTATCAAACCCATCATAAAAAGGTGCTGTAATAATTTTAACATGCTTTCATCCGCGTTCAATAGTAATTGAAATACTATTTACATATCAAAAAAATTTTTATTTAATTTATAATTTCTGTTATTTCAACAAATGCGAACCAGTCCTTGGCATTCATAGATATTTTCATTGAATATTGTTTTACATAATAAATAATTTCATGTTCGGCACTCGGTTGAAGCTGAACCCTAGTGATATATGAATATTTACGAGAGTAATTGCAAGTACCGTTGCCCTAACGATGACATGCAGTGACAAATATTAAATGAAGCCAGGTAATAAGTCCGGTTTTGTTTCTATATTTAATTTTTATACGTACCGAGTTTTGTTTAAATTATACAAATATTGTTGCTTGTAGTGCAGAATTGAAAACAATAAAAAAATACAAATAAGTAAAAAAAATAAAAAATCTACAATTGTATTTTCAAATGAGTTGATTTTTTTTTATAATTTTTCGGATACATGTTCCAGATATGTGTATTATCATCACAATTGTTGATCAAATGTACAAAGCAAATAATTAGTTTCTGTATAATTTACAATATTTAGAATAATAAATTTACAATCTATAGAAGTGATGACAATTATAAACTATGGAAAAAAAATTCTATAGCTTCAAATTACATTTTTTTTCATCGATTTATAATTATCTTCGTAGTACCATTGATAAATTCACTAATAATATCAATTAAAGATTGCGAGCAAAGTCGTAACTTTAGCAAAAGATAAAACTTTATCCTCAAAACTAATCAATAAAATTTATTTTCATTCAATTGACGTTTGAAAACGACTAAAAAAAGAAGGCAAAAAGTGCTTCATTCGTAAATTTTTAACTCTGGGAAAATATTTATTGCATAAATCATAAAAAATGGAATGCTTCAAACTCACCTTTAATCCACAGCGGTTTAGACGAATCATCAGTAACAGCACTGACATGAACGAAAATAAGCAACGAAACTTGCAGAATAATCCACCGGTGCATTGTATTTTTTCAAATATTCATTAATCAATTATTTTGATGTCTTGACCGCTGCAATAGCCGATATCGTCGTTGAAATCTACCTGTAAATTAATCAAGCTTAATCAAATCAATCTACGTTGTATATTATTTAAGGGAAAGAAACAAGTTGCGAGACAACACGTATATTTTATTGTTGATTCTGGTGGGTGAGATAGGCGGGCGGACATCAACCATTTGCCGAGAACGTCACGGCTCGCCAACCACCGCGTTTAGTTAGTTACAGTAATCGCAATCGGTTCGACCATGCTGTTCGATGATTGGAGCTGACAAGCGGCCTGAATTTTTCTCACGATCCGTCCTGATCTAACCGCGGAATGTGACTTATCGCCTACTTCTTTCTCCCCTCTTTTAATAAGTCGTCGATATTTTATAATGGTAACTCGAGTGCAATATTGCGCACCTATACAAACCATAACTCGATCAATGGCGGAATTTTCATTAAGACTTTTAATTATTCTACCATTTTAATCATTCATTGAATGAAAATTTCTGCTATTCTTCCTTTGCATCCATATTCCGGTCTTGTTTCACGAAACATTATTGAATATTTCCTTTCAGGACGTATCCGTTATAAAGAGCGTTATCAATACGAACGGCAAATCTCACTGAGGCTGTTCTTGCCCCTTGAATATAATATCAATATCATGTCGAAGAACGTGAAAGAGGTCTGATAGTAGGCCTACGCGACTCATTAAAGCGTTCGATAATTTCTAATTAACATCTCCCGAGATGTCTATCAGGTGAGGATCGAGATCTTGTTTCAATAATTAGTGTTATTATTTTTTTACCCTATTTTCTTCTGTTATCAAGCACAGGTCTGGACAACAAAATATTCATTACTTGCAAGAGGTATATGAACGTTAAGTGTTAAGAGAGTCAGAGTTATCTTGTTAAATTGTCGACTTCATTACATATATATATATATACATACATATATATATATATGTGCTGCTAGGCCTGGTATGTGCGACACATGGCTGCAGCTAGTGTACACTGTTAACAGCATAGACATTAATCACTACTATTCGCATATAAAATATTCACACCTCGTAAAAACATCGCAAGTCAGCAATTCGTGTTTATACTTAATTATTACAATTTCTTTAATAATTCATTATTCCATTCGTTTTAATAAATTCTGTTTTATTTAAAAGGTGAAAGCTTCGTAAATTGAATGAAAATCTATCCTCTAGTATTTTACCTGTAGCTAAGATTTATGTTAATAATTACTATCGTTAATTTCTACATAAAATATTGGAATAGTCTGGATATACTGAGCTGAGGCTATTTTCTATCAATGCAATAAAACCATTAGACTAAGCTTATCGTCGTTTAGATTATGTGATGTATAACTTGGTAAAGCTTTTACATCCTTTTCCATTTTTCCCGGAATATTAAAAATTAATTTTTTTATGTAGTTGTTGATCAACATAAATATTATAGTTGTAGCTCAATAAAAGATGATAATTAATACCGTTATTACAAAAAATCATTTCATTGATAAAATATTTATATTCCTATAAAGAAATAATTCTGCGCAATATGCTGAATGTACTTGATTATCTTATGAAAGGAGACCGCTGTAAAACATGCGACTGAGCACGTAATCCAATGACAACGTGACAAGCCGCGAAAACCGGTGAATGAAAATGATCCCAAAGTATATATGAGTAATAAAACTTTAAAAAATATTTGACTACATACCCATTATAATGTTAACCGGTTGTTTTTTTTTGCTTCTACGTTTCTTTTTGATAAACGTTTTAAATTGTTGAATTATTCCACTGTTTGGTCGGTGAAAAAAGAATAAAATGCAATTCACTGGTTTATAGTTTTGACAGGTCACTTATCAAGAATATCACCGATTATTAATGAACCCAGTTGTGATAATACTACTCGTTCATATATGTGATGCAGAAACATGAACTATAATTTATATTTTACCAGGTCATATAAGGATTTCATGCGTACTGTATCCGATGCTTTGAGAGCTATATGGTGAACGACAGAAAAATAAAGTCGCGAAGTAAAGTATCGAAGTCGTGGGCACGATCGCTGTCACAACACTAGTGGCCGCGCGGCCGCCTCCTCTTCCCGTCGTGTGGTACATACGAGCGGCTCCCTCAGTCCATGGTCCACGGCTTGCGTCCGAGCCTGCCTTGCTTTTCTGCTGCCACGTATAAATCTCCATCTTCGGCTTACGCCCGCAACTATCATTAGACTTTTGTATAATCTAACCATTTTAATGACAGTCATTGTTCCTTAAACACTACAAAAAAGTCATCAGACTTGGAGAGATTACGAATAAAAAATTCATTTCAATATGGAGTAGGAAGAGAAATGAGAAACAATAAGGATAAATCCGGAATTATCGACAATTTGAAGAACCAGCAGCCCACCTATTGAACACTCATTCGAGTCACACCAAAATCGGATGAACGACCCACGCGGACAAGTTTCGTTGCGATCTCTTTCTTAAACTTTTTCGTCTCACTCTTTTATACAATCATATGTATATATATATATATTCTTAGTTTTCTCCCAACGTTTGAAGATTTGGACCAAACAGGTGATTATTGCCACCGCGAGAGTCGTTGAACAAGTGTCATTCGCGTATATACAGACATCGAAACGTTACTTGTGATCGATTGCGAGTATAGAAAAACAAATATCACGACATGTTGAATTTACGATGAAAAGCTGACTTTTTTAGTGATTTTTATTTACCTTGGGTTGTATATTATTTTGTAATAGTTTACTGCTTTTATCAAGTTAGAGATATTTTTATTTCGTTTCACCAAAATTATTTTTACCATTGACCGATTGAATAATTAATTACTTCAAAGATTGTATATACATTAACTTTCATGGTCTATCATTACATAGATATCATCCCTTTGAATAAATCACTAATTTACCAAATAAAATACATTTAATTTCATATTTAATAATTAAACTTATTTAAATACTTTTCAATAATATTGCTTTAACAAACTCAATAAATTTTATTAATTATTTGTACAAAAATCAAATTAATTTAATATCAATATACTTTCTGTTAAAACCAATATGATTTATGTTAATTTTTATTTATGTATTTATTTATTGAATATCAATGTTTTTTATACCTACTATAACAAGTTTTACTTTAGCCCCTGTTAATTGTTGAATGCATATAAGTGATGTAAAGTATTAACTATGTTTATACTGGAAGTTCACGTAAATGAGATTAAATCGAAGCATGTTGTTTATAAATACTTGTATTTTATAATAACTTTACGACACATATTAAAACTCGATTAAACATTTTTTTATAATGAGTAAGTAGAAAGTTCAACTTTTATTCAAAGGTATTTAAACTTTGTTGTTGTATACACTACTACTGGTAATTATAAAAAATCTCAACCTTTGTTAAATTATTTCCATCTAGCATTTATTCACAATATAATATAACAACCTCATAAGAAAACTAAATAATGATAAATTTTACTCCTTATTCTTACTTAAAATCAATGAATTATGTTGGAGCCAACTTTTATTTATCCAAGATGCGAACTAAGAAACTACTATAAAATATAGATCGTTCTACTTTTTTTTTTGTTTGAATGTAACTTTCTGGGATGAGTGCAAGAAGTAAATTGACCTGAATGTATTAGAGATTTCCCAGCTGAAATGCAATAATCATATTCTCAAAGGCTGTATAATGTTTCAGTAAAATCAAAACAATTTTTTCTGAATGGAGAGAAAGATTATTTTAATGGGAAATTGATTATTTACGAAAGTGTAATAGTTTGAAAGCAATCTAGTGATGCTCGAATTTCACTCAATCAACTAACATAAATAATAAAAAAGTTTTCCGCTTAAATACTTGTCTTACTTAAATTAATTAGCAGAGGTAAAAATGTGAGTAATGCAGTTCAGTTATTCAGTTTTTTAATATTCATGAATTTCGGAGTTGGAGCTGTTGTATAAATTTGTTGGTAAAAATTCTGGTTCTTATCGTTCGAAACAGTTGTATACATTAAATACTTCAAACTGTACAAGACCACTTCTTCTGATGACCTTACCGTCTGTGTTTTAATTTCTTTCATTTCTAGCGAAAGAAAGGAAAACATGGCTTAGTAATTAAAAGAAAATTAACTGTGCACTTTTTCATGTTATCTTATCACAAATACCCTATTTTGTAGACTAACGTAGGAAATCAATAAAATTTTCAACACGATCAAAATGAATATTTAAAAAAGCGGTATAGCGGATTACTTTACATTAAGTGTGAGATTTTATTGCCGCTATTTCGCTTCATTTCTCTTAGGTGTTATCTTGAATATTGCATAGAAGTCTAGTCATATCATAAAGTATCGAAGCTAATAGATAATTGGATTTAACACGTCGTTTTACTCAAAATTAATATGACTCGATTTATTATTGATTAAAGGAGATACTGTTCTGATGAGAAATAACATTAAAAAGCTAAATTCATCGATCAAATAATTTTGTTATATTCTTGTTACGCGAAACATGTACTTATAAGATCCTGTGTAGCGAACAGAACTTTCGCACGGACGAAATCCATAATTTACGAGCGTATAAATAACGGTAAGAATTATATAGGAACATCTCGTCATGCTACCTACAATCAGTAGTGACATTTGGATCTGTGGTTTTGTTTTTTTTCTATTTATTTCTTATCCCGTGACAAGAATAGTCGCATCAGTAATATAAATTTTTCCACAATGTTTTTGATATATTACTATTTAATAAATAACTTCATGCTGGGTGAAGTTAAATCATGATTTATGCAAATATTTAAGAGAACATTCGCTACAATAAATTCATCAAATCAAATCTCTATGGTTTTACAAATTTCATTTTTATTTTATTTTGAATGACTTTAATAAATTGACTTTATGAATATTTTACTACAATTCAATTAACTTTCATGAAAAAATAATTAATTCAATCAATTGTTATTAAACTTCATGTCCACTAAATAAGAGCTGGAATTTATTTCTAGCATACTGAGTGTTATGTTTGTTGTGGAAGAATTTCTTGGGATGAGGAAGTGATATATGATTGTTTTCTCAGTTGAAATTAGTAAATTCTTAAGAGCACAAATGAAACAAGGCAGTGATTGTTCAGTGTCCTGGAGACTTTAGAGGGGAATGAATGAAATAAAAGAGAAGAATAAATAAAAGAATTCGTGAAAGAAATAACCGAAGTAGAATTGACCTATCGAAGAAGCCTCAGAGTTTGAAACCGTATTTGGGCTGAAACATTCAGTGGCTGTTTGCCAGTCCCACGTGTAGGCATCTCTATAATCATTTGATCAAAAGAAATGATGAAAATAAAAAAAAAACGAAACTTTTTCATTTTTATTTTTCCGTAATATAATTTTGCTAAAGTATGACAATGCTCTCATTGTATAATATGTGTATTGAGTACAAATTTGAAATATATAAAAACGTGTGTTTTTCCGATGCAACTTCACTCTATACAATTAATCAGACATACTTCAGCATTAAACAAAACTCCTGACATGCATTCTGAAGTTGGTTGCTACATGTTTGCACGTTTCATGCACGAATTATTCACAATTAAACTTGTCAAAACTAAAACGTTCGAAGAAACTCGTTATAAACAAATTGTGAGTGCACAGATGTACAACTCCAACGTGAAGTCATTGACACTAGACCCTCTTCATCAATTGTAACACATGTAAATGAATGTTGACGTAAACATTATGAGAATTAATTTCATAATATTTTATTATTTTTTTTACGTTGAAATACGTATTACAAGTTCTACGTTGAATGTTCACAAACCACAATCTACTAAACTTTATCATGGCAGGTGAGCGTTACCCATATTCTATCAACTTCTAACTCTCTTTCACTCTCGAGTTTCCGAGCAACTTTCTTCTCCTCTGGCAGTGCAGCTTAGAGTTCTAGCGATGCTAAAGCTCTTTATTTTCTTTATAAACTCAGTTGCAAACTTGAAATTTTTATTTATAAATTGTATTATATTATATTTAAATAATATATGAAATATTCATGTAGGTTTACACGTGATGTTGTCAATCCAGAGTTACTCATTCCACGACTCGTTTATGCTAATGGAACTTTTAAATCGTTTCATTTATCTAATTATTATGATCAACAAGATAAGAAACGAAAAAAAAGATATATTGATAATATCTCAGATAAATTACATCTCATTCTACCTTTTGATGAGAATCATTATCATGTTGAATTGACCCCGTACTATGACTTTATTTCACCAGAAATGGTCATTGAAGAACGTGGAGAAAGCAGTCTAGAGGATGATTTATATGAACGTTTGCAATTTAAAAGAGCTTCAGACAATCAATGTCATTACAGAGGCTTGGTTAGAGACTACGAGGATTCAAGGGTTGCATTGTCTCTCTGCGATGGAGTGGTTGGTACTTTCTACCTAAAGGGGAATAAAATATTTTCATTTAATGTATTCAAGAGTTTAATTATAAATTACCAGGCTGGTTATATTGTAATTGATAATACCAGATATTTCATTGAACCAATTGATAACTCGCAGTTAGAAGATATTGATCAACATGTTCATATGATTTATAAACGAGAAATAAATCATGAAAAACGATCAGAACATTCTTGTGGAACTAGCGGTGAGTGAATGGACTTTTTGTTCATTTTCAATTGCTAGCAATGAATTTTTGACAGGATAGATGACTGGGAGTCCGCTTGGCTAGAGCAATTGAACAAACGAGAACGTAGATTACTTGCTGAAGATTCTGCTGGATTGAAACGAACAGAAAACATCATGTCAAGTACCCACAGTATTCATCGTTATATTGAAGTTGGCTTAGTTGCGGATAAAAAATTTTTAGACTTCCATAAAGACCGAGATTACGAGAACTATCTGCTTACCATTATGAACATGGTATCAGATTTTTATCACGATGCTTCAGTTGGAAATCAGATTGATATTGTTGTGGTTCGTATAATTTATTTGGAGAAAGAAAAAGAAGAGTTGGATTTAAATATATCTCCAGATGCTAACAGTACTCTTAATAGTTTTGCCAATTGGGCGAATAAAATGAATCCTACAGATCCATCTCATCCAAACCATTATGATGTGGCTGTTTTAGTTACCAGGTATTTCTCATCTTTATTATTGGGTCATTTATTGATTGAAAAAATAGAGTTTCAATTTAATAAAAGTTTGATTGAAAAATTTAGACATGATATTTGCTCTCCATCAACATCTTGTGATTTAATGGGTTTAGCTTTCGTAGCATCTGTTTGTGATCCACCTAAAGCAGCAGCAATATGTGAAGATACTGGTCTGCTCTTAGGAGTTGTGGTAGCTCATGAACTTGGTCATGTGTATGTAACTATTGCTACATGTATCATCAGTGTTTAGCAGATCGACCAAGCAGTATTTCAACTCTAGCCTTTCATTATCCCTTTTATCATATTTCTGAGCTCATAAAAAGTGACAGGATAATAATGTGGTACGATATTTCTGCATAGAATGGGTTGCTCTCATGACGAAGAAAGTATCAGTGGTTGTCCAGCTCAAGATAAAGATCAAACGTATTTTGTCATGTCTCCGATTGTTTCTATTTATTCTTATCGATGGTCAACTTGCAGTAAACAATACATTACTTCACTCTTAAAGTATTCTCTTCATTTATTACACTTTATCGTCACTTCATCATGGACTTTTTATTTTTGTAGTAGTGGATTGGGAGAATGCTTGAATAATAATCCTAAAAATCCACCAGAAAAATACAAGTTCCCTAAAATGTTGCCTGGAGCTATGTATGATGCTGATTCTCAATGTAAATTTCATTATCCTGATACGAAACTTTGTGATTTAGGAAAGGTTTTTGAATAACAATGAAAGATAAATAAATTTTCAAAGAGATTATTGCATAGACAATAATTCAAAAATAATTCTACACTTATATTTATTTTGTTTTTATTAATAAATTATTGTTATTGCAATGATTTCCTGATATTTTTTCGTGATAACTAATAGATTATTAACTTGATAATTAAGGGTGTGAATTGCGAGCAACTGTGGTGTAGGAAAGAAAAAAATTGCTTATCAAAAAAAGCTCCACCAGCTGATGGAACAAAATGTGGTGAACAGAAGGTAGAAAAATACGTGGCTTTAATATGATTTCTTAAATCTTCTTCACTGAACGTTTTTAGTGGTGTATAAAGAAAAAATGTGTAGACATGGGAACTCGACCGGAAGCTATTCACGGTGGTTGGGGTGAGTGGGGCTCGAAGAGTAAATGTTCAAGAACGTGTGGAGGTGGGATTTTAGTTACCGAAAGAGAATGTGATAATCCCCAGCCGTCAAATGGTGGCAGATATTGCATTGGTGAAAGAAAAAAAATAAATATGTGCAATACTCAAGTATTAATCCTTTTAATGATTCATTCAATCTATCAATTATTTTTATAAATAATTTATATCCTCACTCAGCCTTGTCCATTCGACAAACCATCATTTAGAGCAACTCAGTGTGCTGAATTTAATTCCAAAAAAGTATCTGCCGATGGATTACATAAATGGACTCCGTATTTTCGAAATGATCTTGATCCTTGTTTGTTATTCTGTGTGAACGAAAATAATGTTTTTTCTAAGCTTGGAATAGCTAAGGATGCAACACCTTGCAAGGGTGGAACAAATAATATATGTATCTCAGGGACATGTCGAGTGAGTTTATCATAATTTATAATAGCACTTTCAAGAATGTAGAAAATACATGCAGCTTTTCATCTCACTGGTAATATGCAAGCATAAAGTACATCACGTATACTCAATACATAAATATCCTTACTCTTTCATGTTATATTTACTTTTAAAAATCATTTTACAGCAGATTCCTTTATATAAAAATGTCCTACATTGTTTTAGAAAGTTGGCTGTGATTGGGTAATTGATTCAAGCGCAGTGGAAGATAAATGTGGTGTGTGTAAAGGCGATGGTACCAAGTGTAAAATCGTTGAAGGAAAATACACAGATATTCCTTCTACCCAAGGTGAAATTCAATAATTATTGCCTTGAAAAGTTAGTTTTTAGTATCAATGGAAATAAAAATTTATTCAAATTAATGTAGGCTATCAAAAAATTGTTACAATTCCTAAAGGAGCGAGAAACGTTAATGCTAGAGAAAATGGTGCATCTGAAAATGCATTAGCTATTAAATTAGAAAAGGATAATACCTATTGCTTAAATGGCAATCAGTATGAAAAAAAATATGTTTCATTACTTTGAATTAGTATTAAATACTTAAATTTACAGAAAAGAGAATCTTAATGGTGAATATCCTTGTGCAGGAGCATTAATTATATATTCTCATCCAGAAACGAACAGAGAAGTTGTGGATATTAAAGGGCCAATTGGAGAGAATATTCAATTACAGGTGGAAACTTCTACTTTCTATCACAATAATCATCTAAAAGCAAAGACAATAGTTTTTTTAGATAAAATTATTTTAAAATTGAATTGTTTTCAATTACTACTACAGTTTTTTATAATTTCATTGACCTCGTATTTTCTGTAATCGTCTTTCATATTTTACGACCGAAAAAAAGTTCGATCTCGAATTGTAAACAAAAGTTTTTACTTTCTAGGAGAGTGAATGCCAAAATTTATAGAATACATTATTCTATTTTATTTTTTATAATAAACGTAAAAAATTTTACATTTTATGAGCCAGCTGTTCTCGAAATTATTAGAGTAGTGAATCGAACAAGTATTAAATGTTGCCAAAAATATCTTTAAAATTTCAGACAGCTGTCTCAAGAACCACAATCTTAAACTGAAATCAATACTTTCTTATTATCCAGAGAGTGATGAAAAATAATATCATTTGACAAAAAAATAACTAATAGAGTAATAAAAATAATTAAATCAATTGTTAAAAGGTTTTAAATTACATTACACGGATTTCACTCTCTGAACTCGACTTGAAAAAATGAATGGACAATATATACTCCTAGTTATATTTTACGATACAATTTATACTTACAGTGTGTTCTATTTACCATCGCAATGTCCGCTGGAATACATTTTATTTACCTTACACTACAATACGATATCGATTAAGATCAAGATAGTGAATTGTATCCTGTCTTTGTTTCGTTCCAGTACACATTTTATTCTTTAGAAAATCCTGGAGTAAGCTACGAGTATTATATCATGAACACAGTTAGTTCTGGGTACACACCAAAGTATTTGTGGGATTTTACACAGTGGTCATCGTGTGACGTGAATTGTGGAGGTGGAACAATGATTTCTAAACCATCGTGCATTGAACAACAAAATGGAATTGTATCCGACGATTTCTGCTCGAATATCCCACGTCCTGAACCACTTACAAGAATATGTAATGAAGAGCCCTGTCCAACAAAGTAAATTTATTTGATATAATTAATATTTATTGACACTAACCATAGTATAATTATAAACCACTAAAGTAAATTCAATGCAATTGTGTAGCCTTCAGTCAAATTAATGACGTTCAATAACATCATTTACAATACATTTAGATGGCGTGTTAGCCAATGGAGTGAATGCTCTGGCTGTGATGGCTCATCAGGTGAAAGAACTCGGAAAATTCAGTGTGTGAAAAAAACATCTAATCCAGGTGGTGAAGACATCCAAGTGGATTATTCTTTGTGTAAAGGAAATGCACCAATACAATCAGAGTCTTGTACTGGAAATCAGCCTTGTAGCAAAAAATGCCAAAAAGTAACTAGAAAATCGAATAAACGTGACGATACTTCTTTGGACATTCAAGAGTTTGACAAAGATAAAAAAAAATTGAAGGAACTATTGAGTGTGGGGCTGGCTAGTTACCTCGAAAAGTTGGAAGGAAAAGGCTTGAAACGTGATCAAGTGTTGAGGAGAAAAAAGAAGCTGAAAGATCCAATAGACAGGTGGCTGTTGAACAAAGAGACGAGAATTTATGATGAACAAAATGACAAGTTTAAGCGAGCAGAAGACATTCAAATGAAGACATTATCAACGCTCAAACCTGGTTCTATAGTCAAGGACGATTATCCAGCGGAAAATTCAGTGCTCCTTGAGGCTCCACTGAAGGCCGATACTTTCAAGGCCAACTTGTCGGATGTCGCCTTTCAAGAAGGTGGTGATTCAGTGCCTGCTGAGATTGATACCAGTCAACAGAAAATTTATCAAGGAACTCTGGCACAGAAGCTCATTATTGAAATGGCTAATCCAAACGCCACTAATTCTCCAGAGTAACTTTACTCATTCAGAATAACTTTTGTTAAATAGTACGGTATTTAACGAGTCATTAAACTATTAATATAATTATTCCATATTATTTTATTGAATTAAACAAATTTTCATCAACTAAAGTATTATGAACTAGTTAGAATAAATTTTATTTCATCAAACAAGTTTAACATAGTTTTCGTGTAATGAATACACGAATTTGTAGACTATTGATTGCAATTGATAGTGACGAAAAATTTTTAACAGAAAAATAATGAATTACTATTGAATTGAAATTTTAATCCTCAAGTTTTATTAAAAAATTTTGATGTTTCAATAATAGATGTCAAAAAGATATTGATAATACTAAAATTTCATAAACTATTTTATTGTTCAGAATGTTGAATTGAAACTTGATATGCTTTTCATATTGGTCTGCAGTGGAAATTCCCATTGTTTCTTTATAATTAGAGGTATTTGTAAACGGTCTAAAAAGAGCATGAGAGGCATTATAAAGTCCTGGTTGATTTTAAACCTATGAGACAAATAATTACAATGAACTTTCTACTTTGGTATAGTTATATCAGATGATAATAACGATTTCGTGTACGAGGTCACGATAGAGTAAGTCCGATCTTTATACTTTTCGGCAAGTTATACTTAGTCTACTGATAAACTTTCTCGTCTTCCGGAAGTATCCAGTCGTTGAACTCGGTCTACTGAACATCACGAATTGAGAACGCTCGGAATCTGCAGGGTTGCGAGTTGTTGAAATATAATGAGAACAAAGAGAAGTAATCAATGAATTTAAACATCATTCTGAGATTTGGCTAAAAAAAACTATTGTGTTAAATATCAAGTTTTCGTGATTGTATGTTGATGAAGTGAATTATCGAGAATTGAAAATGATTTACACACATTCATATCACGATGGATAAAGCAGGAGTTTTGTGCTATATCAGTTTAATGATTTGAACGGCAGGTGGGGACTACTTCTAGCGGTTAAGGGGGATTTTCCTGTTCACATTCACTTGAAGATAATTTATTAAAACAAAATATCAATTTTTTTATTTAATTCTGTCACATTTTTTAAAATTAAAATTGTGATAAAAACGATAGAAAATGTACCTGTACCTTTCAACCACTTGAGAGTATTTAAAAATCAACTGCACAATTTCTATAGTTTGTTCCTGGCACTTTGAATTGAACATACTTCATGTGTTTTAATTTAAAACACTTGATTACAAAAAAAATTTCAATTACTGTTCCATGATTATTCATTAAATATTCTCTTTTCGATATTTTAATTATTTTTATTCTGTTCATCGTCTATTGTAGACAATTTTTATAAAACAAATATTTAAGAACAATGTACTGATTCACATTTCATTAATTATTTGTTAAAGAATGATTATCATGCTTGATAACATAGCCATTGTTAATTAATACTTCTCGACATGTCTATCAAGGAAAATCAATTTCCGCTTCATCAACTAAAGGTCTCTTGAATCAAACCTAAATTGCACGCAATTAAACTGCAATAATTTATTTGATTACTCTACAGGACAGTTAAGCATTTGCTGTAGTTAAATATTGTTTTTCTTTCTATCTTCTTGCATGTTTTAAAGCTGGTAGGATTTTGAAAACAATTAATTCTGCTTGTCGTCTTTCTGTAGTTATTGGAGAAAAACTATCTATTTACTTCTTTATTATATTTCAATAAATGTGTACATTGTATTGTCGTTATTTGCCATTTTCAATATTCTCTATGCAAGCTGTTTGAAATTAATATGCAGTGTTTTAATTATTCATCAGTTAAATCGTCCAATTATAACTTGTCAAAAATAATAACCTAAAATATTAATTGTTTTGTTGCAACGAATTTAATTGCGCTCTTAATTTGAGGAAAGAGACACTAGTCAGAAAAAAAAATCATTTGTTCATTCGAATAAAAAATTCACCAATGGAATTATATAATTGGTCAATATTGGCTCAGATAGAAGAAATATTACGCAGAATAATTAATTAACTATGTAGGATCAAATAGCTTTTTTTTAATTAAAAAAAGGAGAATACATATTAGACTAGGGATATTTTTCTCGTAATCACAACATTTTTTTTGCCACCATTTCTTTAATGAGTAAAAAATGATTTCTTTCGTTTAAAAAATAGGGTGTGTTTTATTCATATGTCGTCAATATTTTATTTAAAATAATTTTTTTTTTTAATAATTGTTTCCAGAAGAGCATATTGGAAATCACTAACTATAAGAATACTTCTTTTGTAGGAAAATGTTTTATTTAGGAAGTTAATAATTTTTTTCAATGCACTTTGCAGTATCTTTTTACTGAAAAATAACTTCTAGTCTTCAATATGAGTACTTATTAATAGAAAATTAGTTTTTTTTATGAAAAAAAAAAAAAAAAATTAATATCGAAAATCTTTTATCACTTTTAATTCTGAGATGATCTATTATTTTTCTGGATCAATTTTAAAACTCTTTTATCCGAAGAAATAAAATTTTATCTGAGAAGTAAATACAAAAAAAAATAAAATAGATAAAAACGTTGTCTTTCGAAAATGTATCTCAATTCTATTTTCTTATCTGTCTGTTCTCATCATTGGATTTTCGGTATTCTTTTTCAAGCATCTTTATCGATCTTATAATATACCACGGTTGAAGCAAAGCTTTAAGTGGCACTTTTCTCCATCTGTCGTTGATTGATAGTAAATTGCATCATCTGGTGTCACGTTCAAGCATTTTGAGGCTTTAGAGAACTATGGTCTGAAGTGACAAAAATCTGATAGTGATGAGACAGAAATTTTCTATTAACTATTACTTTTCGTGGTAGATCTCGTCATTTCCGCTACAAGTGAAGCTTATGTGCCATATTCTCCCAAACAATAGATACATTCACTTCATATGTTGTTATAAGGGAAGTGCATGTTACCACTGAAATCGAATTTTCACAATTTGAAACATTACTACAAACCATTGCAGTGTGTCCTATATTTCCAAAATTGATTATTGATAAGACAATCCGTATCACGTTTAAATTGAATATCTTGCTATTTCACATGACCAAAGATTCTCCGGAAAAAGCTGTAAAGTGCATTGAAAGATGTATAGCACCTAGGAGAAATGAAAAAGAAATTTAAGCGGAAAGAAAAATACCTCAAGCTTAAAGAAAATTTAAGTGTCAAGAATCAGATGGAAAGTTTTCAGTTGTTCGGACTACTGAAAGTGTAGTGAATTTAAATTCAAAATGTTTTACTCACTTATAAAATAGCGGTAATGACACGGAAATGTTGCTGATATTTTCTTTGAATAGAGTTGAAAAACTTTTTTTAAATTTCAACATAAAAATTTTAACCACAGATGTTATGCCATATGCGATGTTGATGTGTTATGTTGGTAATAGAGTTGATGTACTATTTTGTGGTTGCTTTTACGATTTCAGTGATATAAATTGAAGTGGAGTAAACTCGTACCGAAATTGAGATTTAAACTGGATTAACCGTTAACATAGTTACAGAAATTTAAGATTAAAAATTTTATTTCAAGAACATGATAGATAATACATTAATTCAAGAAATAAACATTCAATCTCTTTGCATTTTCGATAAATCAATTTATTAATATAAGAAAAAAAATTACTGAACAATTTGCATTATATTTACACTTGATTCATTTCTCATAGAAAGTTTCAACAATTATATCGATTAAAAGCATAAAAAAGTTCTTTAAAGACTTCTTCATTTCTTACTTCAATTGAATTGACTTCATTTAAAACAATACCGATGAAAAGAATAAGAAGTCTATTGATTACATTTTGAATAACAATTAACCCAAGTATAGATGACACATTCATTGTAAATAAAAAATTTATCAAAGAAGTATTTTTATAAAAGCTTTTATTTTTACTAATTTATAGAATATTCTGCTCTTTCGTTACTTTATATAAGACAGAAAGCTGACAGGAATGTAGCATGACAGCAATAAACTTTGTGAGCTGAGAAAAGCGATGTAGATTGTTAAATGACACTTCTACCTTAGGACAGCTCTTCCTTTCAGTGCAATATCGTCTTGCAAGTGCGGGCACTTGACTTTTTCCAGACAATGAGAAAAGAAAATTTCACTTTGACTGTGTTTTTGTCTTTTTAAAATGGTCAAAGCTTGTAAACAATTGTAACAAGGTGAAAGATAACGGAAAATTTCATTATTTTATTAAAGCAGCCAATGGGATTAATTTTTATTTTTGTAACACAACTTATTTTATTTTTGTGTCCAGGCATTGAAATGTATGTTACACTAGGTAATATATTTTTTAAAACTATTATCACGTTATGATAAGCGGAAAAACTTTTATGATTTTTAGAATTATATTTGGTTGACAAAAACAATTGACAGTGAAATTTTATTTTTATAAAAATCAAAAATTCAAAAAACAAGTTAGAAGATAAACCCGATAATTATTAATTCATTGAAAAACTTTCTCAAATTTTATATCATAAGAAACTTGTCGTAACAAAAAAATGTATCTTCTCCAACGAATATCTAGCACTGTGACTACTCCAAAATTAGAGATATGTAAAAAAGCGAATAAAAGTAACTATCAAGTAGATCAAATGCAAATTAAAGCTGGAGAATGCCAAAAGATGAATTCAGAAACGTAAACTTAAACTTTATTTTTCATCTTAGCACGTTTCAGTAGCAAAACTTATTATATTTCAAGTAATACTAAGTCGTACGACCTGTTCAACTTAATATTTTTGCAATTCTAACTATTGTTTAGATTGCTTCTCCGCAGATGATTATGTACACAAGGTAGGATTTAAAATCTAATAAACGAGTCTTGTTCTATTTTTTTATTTCCCAAGTAAAAAAAAGTCAGTTTCCTCAGGCTTTAGTTCAACAAAGATAAGAACTTTAAGTGTATGTTGATTCATCTCTATTCTTTTACTGAATTAGAGTTGTCTTTAAATTAAATCAACTCTGAGAAAACAAAAGTTAAATCGAGGACTTT